TTTCATAACAATAATAAAAATTAGGAAAACTATTATTTTTTATTTATAATTTACTATTTAATAAATTTTAATCATTGATATTTAGAAAAAGATATATGATAATTTTTTAGAAACAAGTGGTGATACTAATGTAATAACTTAATCTGTATCTTGACTTAAAAAATCTTGAATGTATAGTTTGTTGTTCACTACACGAGACAATATTGTCATCTTCTGGTGTTCCTATGTGATGTGAGTTCAGTGAGATTGTAGCGAGACCAGCTATGATGTATGTTCCAGAATATTGGGCAGTTGATAAGAAAGTAGAGTGAATGAGTGGAGTGACTAGAGAAGATAGGATAAGGAACGAACATATAAGAAGGAGTATAGNAGTGACTAGAGAAGATAGGATAAGGAACGAACATATAAGAAGGAGTATAGGTGTAATGTCAATCGTAAGAAAGTAATGACAATAAATAGTGATAGGTGAGATAGGAAGTTTTAAATATATAGGATCATTTCTTTAAAAGAAAACTGATATCAGCATGTATGTGAGACATAGGGTTATGTATAAATGGATCAAGTAGAGATAAAAGTAAGTTCTATAAGACTGTAGTGATACCAACTTTGTTTTATGAGTTAAAGTATTGGTTACAAGAAAGTAGAGAAGTGTAACAGAGATAAGAATTCTTAGATGGATGAATATGTAAGAAGCATAGGAGTAGCTTCGATTGTGGATAGAAAATAGACTTAGATGGTTTAGTCATGTTATGAGGAGAGAGGAATCAGAAGCTGTAAGAACAGTTATAGAAATGAATGTTGAAGGAAGAAGAGGTAGAGGAAGACCAAAAAAGAGATAGAGGGATATAATTGAATACGATATGAGGACGGCTGATGTGGGTGTTCTTGTCAAGTGGAAGTTATATTTATTATATTAATTTATTATTGATATTTATTATTTGAAAATCAATGTTAAAGTTTCTACAAAAGTCGTCTGATTTGTGGGTTATTACACAATAATTT